GAGGAGATAATGAAGCACAAGAGTCTCACAGATGAAGCTGTTAAGTCACAAAGAGGCATGATACAGTGTCTGCTTCCTCAAATGCAGCCAAAATGCAAAGGTGTCAAGGAAACACTGCTTCAGAGCACCCTCCTGTCTGTGACCTCGATCAGACCTCAACACTTTCAAGATTCATCATTCTTTTGCCAAATATGTCTAAAATCAAAGGGCAAAATCTCTCTTTTCCCTTCCATTTGCTTTTATTACCGCCAAGTGACGGGCACACCACAATTGATCCCTTCAAATAAATGAGTAGGTAGGGTCAGCACTGTGTCCCTCACAGCCAGGGGGTTTGGGGCCCGCCATGCCAAATGCATTGTCATCTCCAAGTGCTGGAAATAGATGTGGCTGCATTGAATCACGAGCTAACAAATTGTAGTCTTCCTGGCTGAGTCTGTAATTACTTGGCAATCACATAACCCAGCAAACCTCAGGGTCCTTTGGTCCAGCACATTTTCGAAGCAGACAACAGCTTCTGTCTACTTGCTCCATTTTGGGAAGGGATAGAGAGAAAGGTTAGTTTACAGCCTTTTCTCCTTTTCATATGGAATAGGGACACACTTGAGAAATTATCTTCCTGAGTATGGTGTTCAAGGTGTTTCTTAACACTGGATAAAATTTTACTGGATCTTCCAGTTATCTTCTGTATGACAAAATGAAGCTGAGAATTGAGAGTTTGGAAGGGAATGTATTGAAGCAGTCAGCAAGTTAAGAGTACCTTAATTCCTTGATCCTCACTGAAAGGTAATGAAATCCCATCCTTATATGACCCTTATCACCCCAGTAGCTGAGCATCTTGCAAATTTCTCTGTTTATCCCATGACCATTTGGGGATTGCCCATTATGGTATGCATGACTCTCACCTGATCAGGCACTGGTTTCACCCAGCATCCTTGTGCATGAGGAGAATGCGTCGATACTCTGTTGAAGAACAGAGCGACTCCCATAATTCCCAAACAAACAGTCATGATGCTACCTTGGGCTCATTTTGAGTTGTCCACCTTAATGTGCTAATTTCTTTAATGCTTTAAAACCTTCAGGAAAGTGGCATCAAGGTGTAAACTGTGAATCCTTCAATGATCACTGTCACCATCCTCTCAGTCATGGGTTTGACTACTTTTATGGTATGCCTTTTACACTTCTAAACAACTGTCAAGAAAACAAACCTCCAGAGCTGGATGTAGCCCTTCAAGCTAAACTATGGCTTTACAGTCAGATAATTACCCTTGCTGTGCTCACTCTCGCTGCTGGAAAACTGACTGGCTTGATTTCCATCCGCTGGAAGATAATTGCCTGTTTTACTTTGGTGGGCAGCCTTTTCTTCATTTCGTGGTACTCCAGTTACGGCTTTGTGCAGTATTGGAACTGCATCCTGATGAGGAACCACGATGTCACTGAGCAGCCGATGAGGTTAGAGAGGACTGCTGCTCTCATGCTGAAGGAGGCAGTGTCATTTATCAAAAGGTGAATGATTGTCTGTAGCTTTCTTTAAAGGGGCCAGGGTGTTCTGGGCACTTGGAATAGAGTATTTTTCTCCAGTAACTGTAACTGTATCATGAGAACTGCTTTGAAACTCGTATCCAAGTTCTCTATTTAGAAGCCTAATGCACTTAAATTTTAATTGCAACTATCTCACATTGGAAGCTACCGTAAATCAGGTTGATTTTCAGCAAATAACACATGACCATCTCACTACTCCCTGTATCTGTAATTACTATATTTGCTCCAAGATTAACCAGATATTTTTTACACTTCACTCTACAAGCCGCATTTGTGCTCTTTTTCATAAACCTGACAAAAAAAAACTGGATAAAATGTATCTGATGCACAAAATTATTTCATGTTAAAACCTGGATAACCTGGATAAAATATATCTGATGCACAAAATTATTTCATGTTAAAATCTCAGAATACTTTAAATCTGTGTTTATGGATTGAGAAGGGAGCCAAATAAGATAGTTCATTTTCTAGGTTCAAGTTCTGCCTGCCCAGCCTTCTGTAATATTTCTGTGCATCAAGTGTCTTTCTGCAAAACAGCAAAAGTAACTATTCTTTTCTTAAAGTTTATGAAAACATATATAGTGAAAATTGTAAGTGGCCATTTTAGAAAAGCCTCATGAATATTAAAGTAAATATGAGATGGTGTCCAGTTGCATTTAATTGAAAAGGCTTTAAAGTTAGACGTCTAATTTCATAATTTCAGCACTGTGCAAATGCTATACCTGTTTACACATTGAAATTTGAAAATAATCTGGCTGAAAAGGATCTTTCTTGATCACATTTCATGCAAGAAAAAATGTCAACTGTGATCAATGGGGATGCACTAGATGTGGGTACAGTCTAGACCCAATGGGTGTGTCTGTGCACAGATGAACAAGAGACCTTTCAAAATATTCCAAACACAGAGCAAAAAAAAATTTGCTTTGGTTTTCTTTTTTTTTTTTTTTAAAGAAACAGGCACAGACCATTCCTCCTCGTAGTTTCCTTTTTACATGTTCACACCCCCCTCTTTACCACGGCAAAATTTATTGGAAAGAGCCGTCATGGTTTATATGGAGACAATGTAGAAGAAATGGACTGGATGGTGGGTAAGTATTTTTCATGAAGGATTTGTTTCAGACACATAAACCTGTGTATTTCAAAGCAGGATAACTAGTAAGGCCAAAATACCTACAGAAATCTAAGCTATTAAAAAATTCTTATAGAGTATTGCAAAAGATTATTATTGAAA